CATTTTCAGACCAAGGAATGAAGTCCTGAGCTGGGATGCACCACCCTGGCTTCCTCAGCATCACCCCAGCCTGGCACTCTTTGGGGGTGATTTATGCTGCAATCAGGGCTGAATTAACCCCTGTGGAGCTGGGAGCCACTGGGCACAGCAGGGTTGTTCTTGCCCATCCCGGCAGCATGAGCAGGGGATAGATCCAGGGATGGGGTGACCTTGGGAGACACACACAGAGCACCCACTGGCTCCATCTCCATGTGATGGGCAGCAAGCACACGTCCCTACTCCCTTCCCTCTTGGCTTTCATCTCCTTCTTGCAAGCACTGGCAGCAGCCCCACCTTTGGTGTTATAGGGTTTTCCTTGTCACAAATCCTCCCCAGAGCAATTCCTGTGCTCATCCCACCCCCCAACAGGCTCTTCCCTAACTGGGATCTCTTGGGATAAACCAGTGTAACCCTGCTCAGTGTCCCTGCTCGCTCCGCACCAGCGCAGCCTGTGATGGGGCTGGGGTGACACCGAGGTCCTGTCCTGAGCAAGGCTGTTTGCAGTGAAAACAAACACATCCCAGAACGTGTCAAGGGTACGGGTGTCACACAAATAAGCTCTTTCCATGAGCTTCATGGCAGAAGGGGGTGTGCAAACAGCCCAGAGCCCAGACAGGGGTTTTCTGGGGAGAAAAGGCCTTTTTCTCCCTTTCCTATGTTTCTGTTAACAAAGTCAGGGATCAATAGAGGTGTTGCAGGCCTGGGAATGTTCCTTGAAAGGGCTCAATCGAAAGCAGCTCCTTAATGATGCTGTAAATTAGAATAGATTTTCTTAGCATGGGGCTTTGTGAGGCAGGTTTAGGAACGTGCGTGGTGGTGGTGAAGGTTTGAGTGCCTTTACACCGAGATGGCAGCATCCCAGCTGTGCTGCTGAAGGTGTAGGCACAGCTTTAGGGCTGGAAGCAGGATTGGTTCAGTTCCTGGTACCTTCGTGGGCCCTTAGTATTTGATGGTTGCTGCTTTGGAGCTGCTTTATTCCAACAGAGTGTCAGTGTGAGGGGATTCTGTAGCGGGGGTTCCCCTTGCAGCTTGCACTGCACTACTTCCTTCACTTTACAGCCTTCATCTTTAACCCTAAAACATGATTTTTAAACCAAATTCTAGGTGAACTTTTGGTTAATTTACCTGCAATGGAGGGTGATGAAGGAAGCAGACAGCATTTGGAAATCATCCCCCATCCTGAATCCTGGCATTTTTGGGGGAGGTACCAACCAGCCCCCGAGGTGACAGCACAAGGGGCGATGGGTTTAAACTTAAAGAGGGGAAGTTCAGGCTGGAGATAAGGCAGAAGCTCTTCCCTGTGAGGGTGCCCAGAGAAGCTGTGGCTGCCCCATCCCTGGCAGTGTTCAAGGACAGAGCCTTGGGTGACAGGTCTAGCGTGAGGTGTCCCTGCCCATGGCAGGGGTTGGAACTGGATGATGTTAAGGTCCTTTCCAACCCAAGCCATTCCATGATGCTATGCACATGCCAGGCACCTGCTAAGGCACCAGTGCAGGACAAGCGCTGCTCCTGAGCTTGGCCCCTCCATCTGCAGCAGCTGGTTCTCATTTGTAGCACAGTGGAAATTTCTTGAATCACTTTTAAGCTCAATTCCCAGGGAGGAAACCTCGAGTGACTCAGCCCTCGGTGAAGCCATTGGCTCCGCAGCAGATCCTATCTGATGGAGGAGCCGGCCGCACCGTCCAGCTCACTTGTCTTCCCGCTGCCCTATGCCAAAGCTGTTGTCCTGCACGGATCAAGTGTCCTAAATACCAAAAGGGAGGGATTTGACCCACCCTTCCCTTCTTCTTCCCTTCCTCCTCAGCCCCATTCCCTGTTGTTAGGGAAGGGAGCACTCGCACAGCGGGGTGAGTCAGTGGTGGGATGCTGGACTGGGAGCGATGTTCCAGCACCTCACCTACCCATCGCATGAGCTCACCCTCAGCTTGGGGCTTGCTGCTGGCCCCAGGCAGGGATCTGGCTCCCTTAGATGTCCCTGCCATTAACTGAGCTGTGAGCACTGAGGAGATGGGTGTCTCCTGGGCATGGGGCAGTGGTGGTGACACAGAGAACATCCCAGCTCCGAAATGCTCAGTTCTTCTCTGCTGAAAGCTCCCACACCTTTGTGATCACTTTATTGCAGCGGAATTGGTCTGGGGAGGTGAATTCAGAGGGTCCTGTGTGCGGGGACAGGTTGGCACAGGGAGATGCTGCTGTTCCCCAGCGCCCTTCCACTGTTCCCCCTCCGTTCAACAACCAAATCTCAGTTGGTTGCTCACAATCCAGGGGTTAAATGGTGTTTAAATCTGTTATGGATGGGATGTGGCACGTCTGGGTCTCACAGAGCAGTTTTCACTCTGCAATGAGCTGATGGGCCCTTTTCTGTTCTTCCTGCAGGTTCTGCTCCATCCCAACAGCGGGGCAGCTGGGAAGGATGGTGGGATAGAGGCACTGCGGCTGGCTCAGTACAAGGCCTTTTACACCACAGGTACCAGGGCCTTTTATTGATCATAAAGTCTGGGAAAAAGCTTGTGGAATTCTTGGTTCCCTGCAGATACAGGTAAAAACCAACTCAGGTTAATTCAAGAGCAAACCCAGTGAGGAGTAAATATGCATTCACCTGTGCCTGCACGGTGGCTTTGCAGCCTCAGGAGCACGCCTGGACTAGCAGCAGGACCCAGGCTCCTGAAGCTGGCCATGGTGGGACTGGGCCATCATAGATGGATGAGGAACATGAAGGTGATCCCTGGGCAGTGCAGACTCAGTGTTTTCCTCTCACTTCCTCCCTAGGAGGAGCAATGGCTTGCGATGGGAGCATTGGGCCGCCTGAGCATCACCAGCCACCCCTCATTTTCAATCTGGATCGCGATACCCAGGAGCAGGAGCCTTTGGACGTGGCATCCAGAGAGTACGAGGAGGTGCTGCCTGCCATCAGCAGGGCTTACACCCAGGCTCTGGAGGACATTGCAACCGACAACGTCTCGGTTGCAGATTACTCCAAAGACCCCGCTGTGACTCCGTGCTGTGACCCGCAGCACGTGGCCTGTCGGTGCCACGCACCCGGAGCTCACCCAGCTGTGCTGGACTGGTGTGTGTCTGAGTGAGTGACTGCTCCGGGTGCTCCTCTCCTCAGCCTGGTTTCTGTGATTGGGAATGCCGTGGCTCCAGGCTGGAGGTTGACCACTGGGAGGGATGAGGCTGCGGTCCCCTTTGCTCCATGCGATGAAGCAGGGAGGTGAGCTGTGGGTCTGTGTGAGCACACAGAGCAGCACTGTCACCCCATGGGATAGGGCAGTGCTGTGGCTCTGGGCACATGGACAGAGATAGGCTTTTTGTGAGGCTCTTTAGCTGAGGAAGAGCCAGGTCTTGGATTAGAACTTCCTTCTGGGAGAGCTGGCTTTAGGACAGAATTCCTCTGGGTAATGCGCTTGGCTTTCCTCCAGAGTGGACCTTACTGGAGCGGCTGGTGGGAGCACGACCTTCTCTCCCTTCTGGTGCTCAGACCCCCAGGTCCATTGGCTTAAGAGAGAAAATTCCTTGTGGGCACAAGGTGAATGCTCTGGGAAACAGAGCACCTGCCCCAAGGGAGGTTCATTAATGGGAGCATCTTAAAGACCCAAGTGTAACAGATAGAGGGTCCTGGGCTCCCCTTAGTGCCACTCTCCTCATGGGCAGTGCCAGGGGTGCAGGTGGGGGGAAGCAGCTCTTACAGGGCCATTCTGGGCCGATGCAAAGGCAACCTCAAAGGTGCATCTGAAACCTAAGAACCCACTGGGACTGCCCAGCAGCTGAGAGAGGGTTTTCTGCAGCAATTTTTGGCTCTGATTTCCATACCCAGATCTCTCTTTGGACAAACCATGGACTGGTGTGGCCTGGGCTTGGTGCGGGAGCTGCACCCATCACCAGCCCCCCAGACCAACTCTCCACTATTAATCAAGACTGACATCTTTAGGGCCCCACAAAGAACAGCAGGAGCTGCAAGGGACAGAGCGTGACTTTATTCTGTCTTTCAACATAGCAAATGGCATCTCTAATGTCACTGCAAAAATACTTTGCCTGGGTAAAACAGTTTGTATATACTGTACAAAGACATTAAGTTTTAATATATCTTCCTCTAAGTACATTTATACACATAAACCAGCATAAATTAGAAAAGGGACAAATGGGTATATAAAATCCTGGTTACATACAAATCTGATTAAATTAGCATTTACACTGTGGCTCTAACATAGGGTTTGTTAAATACAGCGATGCGCATACAGTACAGACACCCCTCGACAGGAACTGAAACAGGGGGCCAGGTATTCACTTACTATAGGAACAAAGCAGTGGCCCACCTTGGGGTTGACTCATTCTCATCGTGGGGACTCCCAGATCTGTTCTTCCGTATTCCCGGCTTTCCCAACGCGCTTCCCAGCAGCCGTCCTGAGCGCGGGTGTTTGCTTCTCCTCACGACCGCTTCGCCTTGCCCGGCTGACCTCCGCGGCACAGGATGATCTACCAAAATCAAAACAGAACGGCCTTACTTTTCCCAGCAAGAGGGTTTGGTTCGAGTCGGGTTTAGGCACATGGCAGGGGATGTCCTGGCCTGTTCCACTTCCCAGTCAGTTGTGGGTGGGTTTATTTATTTACTCTCCCCCTCCCCAGATTTAACAGGTCCTGGGAACAGGAACCATCTGCCTCGGTGATAAATGTGTCTTGCCTCTAGCTGGCACTGGGCTGAGCGCTTGCAGGACATCAGTTACTAGGGTCAAGTCCTTTGGCTTTCCTAATTCCTCCTCAAAAGCTCAGCTCCTGGCATGGTGGGAGGGGAAGGTGGGTGCTGTGCATCACTGCATCTCTCTCGGGGGTGCATCACTGCATCACTCTCGGGGATGCATCGCTCTCAGGGGTGCATCACTGCATCACTCTCAGGGGTGCATCACTCTCAGGGATGCATCACTCTCAGGGGTGCATCACTGCATCACTCTCAGGGATGCATCACTGCATCACTCTCAGGGGTGCAGCACTCTCAGGGGTGCAGCACTGCATCTCTCTGGGGTCTCCAGATGGAGCCCAGAGTTAAACACCACAAGGTTAGGCCAAAGTAGGTGAGAGGAAGCTTAGCCCAAGTATCAGCAAAGCCTCTGAGAGAAAGAGCAAAGCAGGCGCATGAAGAACAGGCAGCAGCGAGGACCCTGAGCCACTTCACATCAGCTCCTAATGCCATGGGATGAGGCTGGAGACCTGGGTAAGATGAGCACCTACTTCTGGTGGACACTGACCATGAGCCAAGGCATGGATTTCCCCTGTATCAGCTCCATCCTGGACATGACCTGCATCCTGCAGCAGTGCAGTGTGAGCCCCACAGCCCCAGCTGTGTGAGGGTCTGTGCCAGCTCCTCCTCCTGGGATCAGTCCTGCAGTGGGCTTCAGGACCATCACTTGCCCAGTTTTGAGGCACAAGCATTGGCATTGGATTTGCATGTATCTCACTGATGAGTTTAATCCTCCAAGCCCCAGGTGCCAAAATGCCTATCGAGTACCAGAGAGGCTGCTGTGAGGAAGAGGCCAGTCAGGTCCTGCCAAACCTGCTCATCCCCTGTGAAACACAATTACTGGTAGAACTTCACTGCAAAATCAATGGCCTTTCCTCTGCTAACAGCCAGCTGTTGAAAAAATCACTTCAAATCATTAGTGATGGTGCAAGAGGCCCACCATCCAGCAGCGAGTGAGGAGGAACTTGGGCAAACATTGGTCCCACGGAGCCAAAGATGCATCTGCAGCCTGGTCACTTGTGTTGAGATCCATGGGTTGGAGCAGTGAGATGTGTGTGGGCACCACACTGGGGCTCTGCTAGGCTGGATGGGCTGCAGGAGCTCGTGTTCCTGTCCATCCTTCCTGGGAGCTGTGCTGCTGGGGGGTTTCATTCCACCCTCTGCAGCAGCATCCTCTGGCAGCACAGGCAGGCTGCCCAACCAGTTCTGGAGGCAGCCAATAATCGATGTAGAAGAGATGCTTTTAAAGGCTGTGTATCAGCGAGGGGAAGCTGTCTTTGAAGAGCTGCCTGCTGAGTGCAATCCAGCCTGACTTAATGAAATGATTCTCCTGATGAAGCCTTCGCATCACCTCTGGTCCCCAAGGTGACGAGCTTCAGTGTGCAGCCAAGGGCAGGATGCATCATGTCTGCCTGGAAAAGCACTGAGCATTCTGGGAGAATTCCTACTGAATCCCAACAGCTTTAAGAAGATTCCCTGCTTCCATTCCTGCTTGCAGAATCCTGCAGGATTTCTTTTGTCAGACCTCACAGCACTACCCTAACACTGCTCCGAGCATGCCTTGGTGGGGAGAGCCACTGTGCTGGCTTCCCAAAGTCCTGCCCTGCCTGGCCCGAGGCACACAACAACAGCTCCCAAAGCCACTGGAAACAACACCAACACTGATCAACCCACAGGGAAGCTCGGGCAGGTAACCAGGAAACAGAGCTGGGTTTGTTCTTCCCATCCCATAAAGACCACACAGGTCTCAAGCGTGGCAGCTTCTCCTCACCTGAGGCCTCAGCCTGCTTGTCCTGCTCAGCGACACCCAAGTCCTGTGTAAGACCAACAGTGGACCTCAAAGTGCTTAATCCACCCCATCAATGCAAGCAAGAGACAAGCGGAATGGGTTCAACCTCCTGCCGCAGGATCCCTCAGCAGTCCTGGTGCCATCGGTAGCAACATCCACGTTCGCTGTTGTTGAGGCCACCTTTTATGAGCCCTCCTTGGCCTTCTCATCTCTCCTCTGATCTTGTTTAATGAAGAGGTCATCTCTGACAACCAGCAACAGATCTGTTGTTAGACTGAAGCTGCTTTCCCTCACTGTTAACAGCTGAGCCTCTGAAGTCTCGCTTGAGGTCAAGGGAAGGCAAGAGGTTTCAACATGGAGAGGAGCTGCTGTGTCTCCAGAAGCCTGTCTTTAGTTCAAAGCCATCCCCATGGCGTGGGCTGCGGGCGAATATTCCATTTTGTCCCAGGTTTTGAGGTTTTTAAATGTCTTTTTTGTTGCACGCTGGAGAACAAACAAAACCCTTCCCATGTTTCCGCCAAACACAACGCTGTCAAAACATTTTTGTTGGATAAGGTCAGGTTTTCTCTCCCTCCCTCCCTCTCCACACTGGAGTGACCGATGCCTGAAACCCCCCTGGAACGCGTCACTGAGACCAAGCAGCACTGAGAAAACAGCAAAGTTCAGTGAAATCCAGAGCATCAAAACATCCTGACCACCGACCCATGCGCACCAGAGCAGCGGGAGCCCGCGCCGCTCCGCCTGCGAAACCAAGGCAGGAGACGTTACCGTCAGCAGGAGAGGGGCAAAGCCCAAGTCCCGGCACAGAGGCTTCATCGGGAAGCTCCAATTGCTCAGTCACCAGGTCAGGGAGCATTGTGGAAAGCGCCTTCCCTCCCACACCACCTCCTCCCCAGCACTGAGGATCTGAGCTGCTCGCTCGGGTTCACTCCAGCATGGGGGCTCGGAGAGATCAGAGTTCATTGATAAAGAACCTGCTGTTGTACAGCAGGGGTTCGGGGCTGCTTTTATACAGCCTAATCCCAGCAGGGAGGCTCATTCAGGAGCAGCGTGATTCCTGCTTGCTGGCATTTGTGTGTCCCTAAACCAGGTCAAGAGCAGGTTTATCAGAAGGAAGCAAAGGGTTTCTCTCTGGCCCTGCTGCTCCTTCCAGGGGCCTGGGCCACTGCCTTCTCCTCCACAACAAGGAAGGAAGAGACAAGGAGGAAACAAGGAGGAAGAAAGAACAAGAAGGGAGACGTTTTAAATACCCTTCTTGGGTAATGGAGTTGGCCAACTGGAAAACTCCTGTTCTCAGTTTGCAGCAGGTTATGTTAGAGGGGACGTAAGAGATTTGGTCTAAGGTTAATCAAACTGAGTCGGATTTAGGTCATGTTGTTTCAAAGGGAGTCACAAGCTGGTCACTTTTTATCAGAGTAACACTTTGCATCAGTTAACAGCAAAGTGCCTCCCAGAGGTCAGCCTCTGCCTATGGAACAGAGCCTGGGATCCTGGTAAAGTTTTTACTTCCTCCTTTTCAGGCAAAACTCCCCAGCAGGATATGTAAAAACAGAGCGAAAGGGATTCAAAACTCTGCCAAGACTACAACCTGAAAGCCATTACAATATTCTGCTGTATTAATGCATTACTAGTATGAAGACAGCACTAATTACAGCCAGACCATAGCACGTTACCAACAGGGGTTCAATACTTGACACAACAAGGAAAAGGAGCTGGAAAGACACTGCCAGGCTTAGGTTAGGTTTTAAAAAGCCAGCATCTGCTCTAAATAGTAACTGAGAAAGTGTCATATAAAAATCATAAACGTGTTTAAACCTCTGTTAATGCCTTTCATCTTTGTCCTTGGAAAAGGAGCTTCCTTTTCAGTTAGCTCGGACTTGCAGGGACTGGTGAGGTTCAGGTATGTTCCAGTTGCAGTCCATAAACTAACCCAACTGACTGTAAATGCAACAGGGAGTATTAAGTTTTATTTCTAAAGGATGGTATTGCTCAGATGAAAGCTACTCCTGGTAATACTGGAAACCTGCACAAGGCACAAAGCTTAGATCTGGATCTGAACCTCATTCTGCATCTGCACTTCATTCAGTGAGCTTGGTCAGATCCATCTCTAGTTATTAGGTTTGATCATCTCTGCCCCATCCCCAGCTGCCATTAATGGGGTGTTATTTTCCTGGCACTGTCCCTATAACTTAGTTATTTTAGGCTTCACAGTGAGCTGGGACAAGGTGGGGACAACAGCATCTCTTCTGTAAGAAGTTAATGCTTTCTTCTCAGCACAAATTGGAGTTTTAGGGGTTCCGAATGCTCACAGGAGGAAACTCATTCTCGTCATCAAGACACACTGGTCCAGTCGCGAACTCATGCTCTGGGATAACCTCTCCTCGCAGGGCACCACCGTCCTCCGAGTAACCTGTGCAAATAGAAATACAGAAGGTTAGGGATGGATGGATGGATGGATGGATGGATGATGGATGGATGGATGATGGATGGATGGATGATGGATGGATGGATGATGGATGGATGGATGGATGGATGGATGATGGATGGATGGATGATGGATGGATGGATGGATGGATGGATGGATGATGGATGGAAGAGAGGCTGGAAACAAACAGCAGAGATACTGTGTTATCACATTCTTAGCACAGAGCTGCTTCCTCTGGCTATTTGACAGCACTGTGGGGGACTGCAGAAGGTATCTCCCTCAACGCTACAGATTAGGAGTGGACTACATGGCCAGCTCCTGGTGCAGCAGCTTTCCTCCTCCACCGTGAATGCAAGCACCAGTTTCAGTCAGATCCACATCTGCGTGTGGACCTTTAGACTTGGGAATGTCATGAGGTAGTGGCCCCGTCTTCTGCAACCATTTACTGTGAGGTTCATTAGGGTAAGATGTTAACAGGTTCGGGAATGATGAACAAAACCAGTGCGATCTGACTTCTCCAGCCACAATTCCAGCTCCTGGAAACCAGCCTGGCAGCAGCTGCTGCTGACAAACTGTGAAGCTCGGATGTGGTTACTGCTCTGCTGGCGGGCCTGTTTGTGGTCCAGCTCTGCACAAGGAGCAGAAGCACTGGCAAGGGGTCCCTGGAAGCAGAGCAGAAAATGCCTCGCCTGGTTTTGGGGCAGGGGATGAAGCTGGTGAGCTCCACAGCGTGCTGCTGCCCCGCTCCGCATTGCACAAGTGGTGGTTCCAGTTGAACCCTGGAAGGCTGGGAGACTTTCCCACTTTGCACTGGGTGGCTTTTTGCTTCTGCCTGAGCAAGGGCAGGCGTGATGCTTACCTGGCATGGTCGAAGTTGAAGGCACTGTACTTTGTCTGGCTACAGTCGCTGCATAAGATTGAGGTAATGGAGGCTGAAGGTCGTTTTCTTTGTTCTCCTCCATCTTTCCTGAGCCAAGAAGACTGTAAAGGAAGAAGAGAGGGGAGAAGGGTTAGTTCTGATCCAGCACCGGCTAAGACAAGGACATGCACCCACATCTTGAAGCACATCACCCATCCACATCAGTGCATCGAGGCAGTGCCTGCAGCCCTAACAGTACTGTAGAGGAGAGCATTGTGTCTACAAGTAAAGCAGGGGGGAAGCAGAAGATAGGGAAAGCACTACTTCAGCTAGAGGACAATGCTGGCAGGAGAATAGAAGGGAACAGATTGACCACAAAAGCTTTAGGTTACAAAGGCAAACAGTGTTTCTAATCACAGAGGGGGCTCCGAAAGGCTTCCAACAGGAGCGGACTAGATGGGAAAAGCAGCCCTGGCTAGTTTAGGATGGCGTTTGAGCAGAGATATAGTATGATGTAACGTAACTCATGACCCAAGGGCCCTTTTCAGTCCTCTGATGCTCAGAGGAACCCACATGACAAAGCTGGCCCGCCAGCTCCGTTGGGCCGCTCCGGGACGGGCGTCAGGGGTGTCGAGGGCGGCCGGAGCGCGCTGGACAGCGCAGCTTTGAAGTGCTTTTGTTTTGTGGCTTTCCCAAAAGCTGCTGGCATTTTCCTGGCTGTGCGCCACCCCCCCCGGCTCACAGCACATGTTCCATCCCAGCCCACTCCAAAGGCTTCACATCTGGAGCCAAGCAGCCCAGATGTGTGTGTGTGTGGGGGGGTTCATGGTTAATGGGATTCGCATCCAAACTGAGCAGCACGGGGAAGGCTCTGCTCTGGCGCTGCGTGCCTGCAGCGTGCATCTCCATGGGTTTTCTTTTATGGAAGCTCCCAGTTTCACTCCACACCATCCTACCCAAGAAGGCAGGGTAGGACAAGGTGCTCTGCTCTTCTACCACCATAGTGGTCAGCGCTCTGCTGCTGAAAGCATCTCCTAAGGTACAGCCTGCCCACCTCTGCTGTCTAAGCTGAGATGTCCCACAACTGCCTAGGGATGTGAGATGGCTCTGATTTCTTCTGCAAGAAGCCCCATGTGTCTGCCTGCTGATGCGGTTCCCATCCACCTCTCTTGGATTAGGCAGCTAAAATCACAAAGTTCCAATGTTCTTGCTCCTCCAGCTCCATTTTGTGCTTTCTGGTGGAATTTCTCTTGATGTGTTAAAAGATGAGCCTCTGTATCAGATGTGCTGGGGGTATAGATAGTTACCTGTGCTTCTTAATTAAGACACACTCCCCTCCATCTTGTGGGTCCAGGTTATAGATACAGAGATGTCCATCTGATGTAGTCACCAACAGTCGAGGCAGCTTCTGAATCCTAGTGAGGAGAGCACCATGAGTCCAAACACATCTGCACTCACACACACGTACACACCCCGCCTCGCTCTGTGCTCTGCAGGCAGGGTACAAGATAAGGGCCACCCTGGTGGTGTTGTGCAGAGATAGCTGTGTTTGCTCACAGCAGAGGGGTGCAGGTGTCAGTACATACGTGGAGAGGGCACAGATGTTCCTCTGTCCGGAGACGTTGAGGCGGACAGTGGCGAAGGCTCGATCCTGGTTCATCATGCCCGATACCTGAGCAGGGAGGTAGTTGGTGGCAGCTTGGAACATCTTTCCCATGTAACCGCTCCAGGTTGGAGGCTCTTCTGGCCGGCTGAGGGGGTCACAAAGCAGCATCAGTGGGGTTACCACAGCCAGCGTGACAAACCCGATTAGAACATGCAAAATGATCCTGATGTGGGACACATGATGGCTTTCTTTGGAGCACCTGCATGCATTGTGCACCAGCCTGGCTGGATACACAGGAAGGAGGCAGGGAAAAGGGCAGTAAGAAATCCAGAGCAGGCCTGGAGAAGCTGACAGCAGGGATGCAGTGTGTAGCTTTTCCAAGGAATGAATCCATCAGGACACAAAGCCAAAGAGTTGGCAGCTGGTATTGCTCATGAGAGAGTATATGGTGAGGAAATGGAGCTCTGTGAAGGCAGAGCTCTGCAGCACAGACACCCTTGGGCAGGCAGGTTAAGCCAGGCTCTGGGTGCCACCCCTTACCTGTCAGTGAGATGCTCCAGTTTAAAGATGTGCACGGTCTCTGTGTTGCTGGAAGCACAGAGGAATTGGGAATCCATGCTGAACACCAGAGAGCTGATGTTCACATACCTAGGGCCAAGCACAGACAGGACTCGTCACTTCATGGCATACCATTCCAGGGGAACCGCTCTGTTTTGCTCCCAGAGAAGAGGATGTGAAGAGCCCCCTGCCCACCTGTGGGCTGACTGACAAGCATCTCCTTACTCCCTTTGCTCAGCAGAGCTGGGATTAGCTTTGAGCTGGTGACAAACAGCCAGAGAGGTGGAAATGTCCCTGCTCACAGCTGTCTGTGGAGTGAACATCTGTGCCAGCCCTGCTACAGCAGCTAAAGCTTCTGGTACTGCAAAGCCCAGGCAAGATATCCAAAGCGCTGGATAATGGGATACGTACAGCATCTCCTGAGCAGGTTCAGGAATACCAGGGTGTTTCAGACATGGCAGTTTATGTACTTGCAGAATGGGTGTAAAGCTGTAGGCAGGTCTGGGATGGGAAGAGGAAATGGATTGGGAATGGATCTACTGAAAACATCTGAGGGAGGCTGCAAAAGGCCCATTCCCATCACTGAGACCTGGGCTCAGCACACTGACTTAGCAGCTTCAAAGCCATTCCTTTGAGAGAGTAAGACTTGGGCTGATAACTTTGGGGACTTCATTATTTCAAGTAAGAAGCAAGCAAGGACAGAGTGAATGGACTGAATCTGTTCCCTGCAGTGGCCCTGTGCTGCGGCACACTGAACTGAACCACTCGACTTGCCGGAGGCGGCTGGGTCTGGCATAAGGGCGTTTCTGGTACATTCACTCTTTGTTTTCCTTCTGCAACAGATGCCAAAGGCACCGGGATCTGACGCTGCCCTCTCCTTCTGTTTACTCCCTGTGTCTGCTCAGGAGCCTTCTGTGTACTCGTCCCGGGCAGAATGAACTGACCTTTTCATCCCTCGCCGGAATTCATAGAGCTTCTGCCCCCCAGGAACGGAAAACACCCGGATGACTGTGCCCTGCGGAACAGGCAGAGGGAAAGAGCATGCAGGAGCAGGGCAAAGAGCAGCAGCCCTTTCCCCAACACACCCAGGGAACTCAGGATGTGCAAAGGTCCCTCCTGTTTGCCAGCCAGGGTCAACCTGAACCTGGTACACCCGGCTCGTGCAAGTCAGAGTCCTTTTAGTGCCTCTCCTGTGCTGGCTGTGTTTAAGGACAGGCAGCTCAGAGGTCCTGCTCCCCATGCTGCAGGATGGGTGGCTGGGACCCCGCTGCCAGCCATGGGCACAGCAGGGCACACAGGGAGGGTGCTCACTCACTTTCTCAGAGGCACTTGCAAGCTTCGAGCCGGTGGAGTTGAAGGCGAGGGCAGCCAGAGGCCCGTCATGGGCAGGAATGGAGCAGGCTGTTTTCTGTGGGGCAGAAGGCAGTGTGAGTGCAAAGAGGGGCCTTGCTCCTTGGACTGCATACGGGCGTTCCCTGCCTCGCACCCTATCCAGGCCTGCGATATGGATTCATGGGATCATGCTCTGCTTATGGTACCCCTTCATCATCCTCAGCATTTCTTATCTCTGCCCTACCTTGTGCTCACTCCCCACCCAGCACAGCCACAGAAAGTCACTTCAAGGGCAGAGGTCTCCATCTCTCCCCATCTCTGCAAGCTGCAGGATCACAACCGAGCCCTTCCCAAAGCCTGGCCATGTCTTTGTGCCCTCCTTCCCTGCAGTTCCCTCTGCTGTACAGCAGATCCTGCTGCAGCGACACCACCCTGGTGCCTGCAGGGAGCCCAGGCCCTCCCTAGTACCTCTCACAGTGGCAGCAGCAGCATGTTTTCCCCTTGTGCTCTGCTCCTCCCCTGCTGCAGATCCTCAGCTCCCGCTGCACGTACAGAGCCACAGCCTTATGTAATCCAAAGCCCTGGCTTAAACAGCAGATAATCATGACCCTGCTTCCAGCCAAGGACAGGCTTCCTGAAGGGGCTGTGGATACCTTGCCCTCTCCATGACTTCGGGTCTGGCATCCCTTCCAGTCCATGGAGCAGCTCCAACCTCCCTGAGCTACCCTGGTCACATCCCCTCTGTGGGATGTGCTTCCTATAGGAACCCCTCGTAGGAGCCCCCGTGTCAGCCTGGCAGCAGCTTCAGGCTGCAGGGTAATGGGTCATGTTTCCCTGACTATCCCATAGTGGGAGATGGATGTCCTGCGCTCAGAGAGCCTGTCTGCTTCGCACGGCATCCAAGCAAGGGGAATGTGCCTCCCTGGGCAATTCCCTTGCAGTCTAACTCGGCACAGTGCATTAATTCATCCTTCCCAAAGGCCCTGTTGGCTTTGCTGTGGTTCTGTTTGTTTTCAGCCCGTATCCATAAAGGCGAGCTTCGCACTTACCAAACTGTTTCCGTCGTAAAGCGCGATCTCTCCGCTGGTCGCGCTGCCGGGATAAGCCAAGTAGGAGTTGGCGTGGTTGATGGAGAGCGCACAGAGCCCTGGCACGGCGAGAGGGACACGGCTCAGCTGGTTCGGGAAAGCAGAAACGCGGCCACGGACCCCGCGGGGGGCGCAGGCTCTGTCTCGGTTTAGGACGGTGTCTGGCCCTGGGTGCAAGGCGCTGGCAATGCCTCGGCCGTGGGGACACCTGCTGGCATGGGACAGTACGGCTCCCTCCTCCCCCAGACCTGCTCTGAAGCCTGCTTTTGGGCTTCTCCCCTTCCAGCATCTCCTTTGAGAAGGCAGGAATAGGTGCATAAAACCTGTTAACATCTTACCCTAATGAATAGGTGCATGGAACACAGCACGGGCGCAGGGCTCACAGGGCAGCTGCCGAGGCACATCTGGGCAGCTCCAGATGTGCACAGGGTGTATGTGGCTGCCCAGCACGGACACAGCCCCAGTATGAAGGCTGGCACATGAAGCCTGGCATGCAAAGAAGTGGCTCTGGGATCGTTTCCTTTTTCTCTGAACGGAAAAGGGAAGCAGAGGGAGACCAAACAAATGCCACGGCTGTGCATGGAGTTTCCGGCTGCCGAGGAACGTGAACGTAGCTGGATTTGAAGCCCAGGGGGAGTTCTTCCCTGTAACAGCCATCTGGGTTTATGCCAACGTGAGCATAAAGGTTCCCAAACACCCCTTTCAAAGTGAGCAGGAATTGCAGGACGGGACAGGGAGGGATGGATGGCTCTGTGTGCGAGCACATCCATCCGCCTGTCCCCCAGGTGACCTGGGAAAAGAGCATCTCTTCCTGCCTCCCATTTGTGCCGCTGGCTGAGGACCCATCCCCATGAATCCTGTCACATACAGAAGCAAGTCTCCCCTGCTTCCTGCACCACATCCGCGTGCTCCCAGGCCTCCCAAACCCCACTCAAGGCTTCAGCATGACCTGAGCTTCCTGACCCCCACCTCATCCCACGTGCGGAGGAAGCTGCGGGGTTAAAGGCTGCTGGGGCTGCTGCCACGTTCCTCAAAGCAGGACACTGGAATGCTGCACAGGCTCACACACAGACCGTGCAACCCATCATGGCAGGACACAGCCCTGGCCCCGGCCCAGCGGGGGGGGGGACAGCCTGAACCTCTTGTTTTAGGTCATTGTTTGTAACTAAACAAAGAGACCGCAACAGAGCTGCAGGATGGGCCCATGGGCCCTGGGATCCACTCCCGATCAGTCACAGTAAGGCTTTTACCTCGTGCCAGGGACAGCGTGAGCAGGGGAGAAGAGGTTCAGCAGCAAAGCACAGGCCGCTGAAAGGCACCCAAAGAGGGAGTGAAAGGAGGAAGGCAAAGACAGATCAGAGACTTCGCTCGTGATGAGCATCCCATCTGTTCAGGATGGCGCTCCCGCGGCCCAGGCAGCCCGGGGGGATCAGCAGAGCCCTGTCTCTAAGCAGTGGATCTAGGGAATGCTCAGGCTGAACAAAGCAGGCTCTGAGCAGCTGCTCTGAGTCACCCACTGGGAGAGGCCGAGGGGAAACCAGGCCAGGGGAAAACACAGCTGTGAGTGTACTGGGCTGACCTCGGGAGACAGCGTCAGGAGCACAAAGGACACGGCAGCTTTGAAGATGCTCCTCTGCTCTCACAGCCCTGACAAGGGTGCAGTGGTGTGCTCAGGAAGGAGGAGGCAGACTGGTGCTGCTCAGGATGGCACCTCTGGGACTGCCATATCACCTCCTCAAGGAAGGAAACAAGGGACCCTTGCCGTGCCCCCAGGCAGGTCCAGGCGCATCCTGAGCTTTGGGGGGAGCCACAGGAGGTGGTTTCCCAAGCTGCAGTCGTGGCATGCGTGTCACCATGAGCACTGTGACCTCCTCAGTGTAAATCCTGTCCCTGACACAAGCCACATATGAAACAACAGGCTCAATACTATGGGCATCTTCCTCTCCTGCTTGGAAGAGGCTGGACCAGGAGCCAGATCCTGGCCATGAACAGCCTTAGATCTCATTATGACAGGTTGATGGGTGTGCAGCAAGTGCTGATCCTCACTGTGCTGGCACTGATGTGCACAGGGTGCAAGCTTTGTATGGGTTGGCATGCTTGGTGTGTGCTCCTACACCCTCAGCACAGATCCTCACTCCAAAAAGGGCTGTACAAGGAGTGGTGAGGTTGGGCTCCTGGACACACCATCCTCAGGGTCAGGCTTGGGACCAAAGCAGCTGATCCAGGGACAGAGGGAGCACACATGGCATTTGTCACTCAGCTCATTTCAGTGACAGATGCTGCAGGAAAAGGGTTTTAAACAACTGAGCCTATATGAAGCCCTGTGATCCCTCGTCCTGCCCAGTGAGCTGATTGCTACTGCTCTGCTACCATGACCCCATCATTCATCCCCACTTGAGGCCTGGGGACCCCTGCGCTGCCTGCCAGGCTGGGCTTCCTTGGGAAGGTTTTCAGCTCTGATTATATCTGCGGTGTTCAGCCTGTTTAATCCACATGGAAAACCATCTGCTCAGGCCTGAAGTAGGTCAGGGGAGCCGCCAGAAGAGCGTCCCTTCAAAGCCCAGCAGCCAGGCGTGAGCATCACATCAGCAGCTTCCCCATCAACCACCCGTGAAACGATGCTGCAGCCTGCGACCGGCCGGGATATCACAGCGCTGCCGCAGGCTCCCAGCCAACATTCCCTCTCCATGGCTAAGAATAGCTCCTCTCCCACGAGCAGGAAAGCCGGATTCACCCTACGCTGCACACAGAGAATGTGTTCTGCAGCCACCTGCCCTGCCCCGTGTGTCTGCAGTGTATATGGGATACATGCCCCATCCCTGGCAGTGTTCAAAGCCAGGCTGGACAGAGCCTTGGGTGATATGGTCTAGGGTGAGGTGTCCCTGCCTATGGCCAGGGGTTGGAACTGGATGATCTGAAGGTCCTTTCTAACCCAAACCATTCCATGATCCTATAGTACCAGGTGGCAGCCCAAGCTCTGAGGACTCCCTGGCAGGGAATTAGGGAGTGTTCTGCCTCTCTTCACATCTCCAATCACTTGGGGAGCTGACCCCACAGCCTATAAGTAACCACAGGAGCTTTCTACCCTAGCAGAGCAGTGCATGTCCATGGCCAAAGGAGAACCTGGGTTAACCACAGGTCCGCAGGGAGCGTGGAGCTCTGCAACACAGTGCGATGCTGCAGAGCTGACTCACTCCAGCAGGGTGGGAAAGCAGGGCCGGATAGTGGGAACACCGTGGGATGCTGACGCAGGACACAGTGAAGGAAGGGCAGGGAGCTCCAGGGGGAGGATTTCAAGTTGTCCTGTATGTGATGGAAAACTTGCGGTCCTGGTTTCCTTAGTTTCCTGCTTGTGACTGAAAATAAAGGCACACTGTGGGAAGCAGCGAGCGCATGGACATCTCCCATGAGGACAGGAAGGGAGCGAACCTGGGAGGTGAAGTCAAACCAAGACCACTTCTGCTCTGCTTTGCTGCATTTGGTGCTCAGGAGACAGCAGGGGTTTGCTCAGGACAGAACAAACCCCAGTGTTCTCCTCTCCCAATCCCACCTGACTGCCTCCATGCACTTCTGGCTCCCCAGTGCTGAATCAGGATACACAAGGCAAAAGCTGGTTTAAATCCTAACATGAGTGTTGTGGCTCTACAAAGCTCCTGCAGAGGTGTGCAGCCCCTTTCACACAGTTCCCCCATGCTCACCTGTTGTATTTGGGGGTGTATCCAGAATAGTCTTCAGAAGCTTCATGTCCTTAATGTTGTGGATGTAAATTGACTCTTCCAGGCAAACAACCAGCCTCTGCAAGGACAAAAGGGACATGCACAGAACCTCAGCAGCACGGGCACGGTGCCTCTGTCTCTCCCACGGTTCAGGAACCCAAATCTTTCCTGTCAGAAGAACTCAAAGGAATTTATAATACACTGAAATACAACAGAAGCATCATCTCGTGTGCTCCTCCATCCCCTATGTCAACCTTGCACTCTGGATGACTGCTTTTGAGAGCTGCTGCATCTGGTCTTGCTTTAGAAAGCAGATAACACATCATGACTTCTCCTATGCTACTCTAAGAGCTGATCTTCAGTACCCGTGAGCCCCAGAAAGACACATCAGGGTTATACCCACCATGGGCCTTGATTGCCATCTATCCCTGCTTTTCTTTGCAGTTCTTTTCATAGCAAATAGCTTTCTGATCATAAAGACCTGGCAGCAGAGGGGCTGCCAATCCTGCCTGCCTGCACATGGGGCTGTGTACCCCTTGCCCTGGCTTTCTCCTGATCTGGGAGCAAACACTTAGGCGATGCTGCTGTTAGTCCCACTGCTGCTAAAACCAGTGCATCTGCACAGCACACGTTTCTCTTCCTATTTGGCACCAGCAGGCGAGGTTCTGCTTTGTGTGTCTGTAGAACAGCACCAAAACTGGGCTGGGAGAGGTCTGCTCAGGGGCAGTCACGTTTACACCATCCTGGCAATGGGCAGGGGATGTCCAAGTTCATGTGCCTGTACCTTTTCTGCTGCACTCTTCAGGAACATCCGCCCAGCCAAGAGGCAGCTGCTGAGAGAGAAGCTGCCAAGCACTGGGGAGGAAAGGCACAGAGGAAAAGGAAACCTAATGCTGTAACCTTAGCACTGGGCCACCACCTGCATGACCGCTCTGCTCCGTGTCTCTGCCTGGTCCAGATCAATCCGTGTTATCACGGAGGCATTTGGCACAGAGGCCTTTCTTGGGACCAGGGTTTGGATGTGGCTGAAGGGTTGTGCTTTCTAAGTCCAGCGAGTGCACAGCTCCACCTGCATTAGTACCGAGTGTCCAGAAGCACTGAAAACCTCCCAGCACAAATGGAAGGCTACACTCCATCCAGGCTCCTGACGCTGGAGCACCCGAATCCATGTCCAGGAAGCCTCCACCTTTTTAGAGATGAGGCCACTTATTTAGTATCTAAATGTGGAGCTTAGTCACTGACTCGAAACACCCACATTAGAAAATCTTTGCTTTGCTCCACCATTACTCTCGGATCAAACTCTTTCCCACTTCTATTCCTGCTAACCACAGCATCTGGGGCTGTGTCAGGGCCATTTTGCATTTCCAGGAAGACTTTGCCTTTCCTACAATAACAGCCATCAACTTGCAGAGACCGAGAGGAATATTTATACAGCTGAATTCAGCCAAGCCACCATGAGCCTTCCCAGAACTGCAAACACGCTGCTATTGATGTACAGGTGAAGGGAGGGCTCCAGATGATGGCAGCAAGAGACGCTGGCACCAACAGGGACAACATCCAGGAAAGTGATGGGGGCAGGAGGTGAACAGGAAAAGGAGGCCTGGACAAGCTCACCAGGAGCTGGAGAGAGCTGTCTCTCTGCCTCTTTACCCCATGCTAACATCACCGTGAGCCCTGCTGAGATGAGGAATGGGTGCCTGGTGCTGTGATTGCTACACAGGGCTGCTACAAGGCACCGTGTCTTGTATAGGATGTTACTGTTCATCAGTGTTCTTTCATACTTGAGTTGGACACGAATCAGGTTAGATAACTGAGTTGTATGGGGAGGACTTAAATGCTCTGGGTATGGGCACAAACAAGATCAAACCTCTCCAAAGAGGCTTCAGCAGTGAATGGAAACCCAGGGAGGTTACAGGAGACCTCACTGGCTCCACAGCACAGCTTTACTTGAGACAACTCACGATCTAGCTTAACACACTTAGAGTTGTGATGGAGCTGGGAACATGGAACAGCAACAACCAAGGGACCTGCTTGTTTGTTTGCACAAGGACTTTTCCACATGGAGACCAAACTGAACCATGCACCATTTTGAGACCTGTTCCTGTTTTATTTGCCACCATCGTCCTGTGCTAATGCCTTGTGTGGGATTTGGCCTTCTGTGGACTTTTAATGAAGTATAAAAGCCCAGGCATGGGGTTCAAATGTCCCAGCACATACAGAACCTGACTGCTTCTGGTTTAAGTCTTGATCATAGGGTGGAACAGTGATTTCTCTTCTATCTACCCCAGTATGTGCAGCATTTCCAGACCTCTCCAGGTGAGAGTTACAGCTGGAGGATGAGCTCAGCCCAGGACTGGAACCCAAGCTCATAAAGGAGCCAAGAACATGGATACAGGGATGGGCCTGGGCATCATCTTCTAGGCACTCCCCAGAGTAGCCCATGGGGAAAAGCCTGAACTTGCTCTCACACTGATCTCCCCAAGGAGAACCTCCCAGGTTATTCTTATACCTATATATCTATCTGCAATTCAGAGGGAGTCCTTAGTTTTGCCAGCTCCATTGTAAGTTGAAGTGAAGAAAATCAGTTTAGGGCAGGTTTAACTGTGGTACAGGAACTTCTGGTCAAACACAGCTTTACTGGAAACTCAACCCAGAGTTTCCTTACGGGAGAGCCTCACTGCAGAACTCGCTGTTGCTAACTGAAGAGAGGCTGATTATATACAATTACATAGAGTGCTTATTTCTCCATTGTAGAATGTCCTCTGCTTCTCATGGCATATACTTTGAGAATAATTATGGACAAAAACAAAGGAAGACTTAAAGTCCTCCCAGAGGGCTCAGGGCTGCACGAGGCTGCGTCCATTCAGACAGTGACACTCTGCAAGTCACCTTCTAAGTGGTCTGAATGCTTTCTGTACCTTTAAAAGTAAACCAGGGCTGTTGCAGGACTTGAAAACCATCCAGAGAGCTCAAGTCACTCCTGAGTTCTGTCACCACTTGTAACCAAGATGGCAGAGGTGGGCCTGCAGTCAGGCTGTGGAATCCAAGGGAGGGAGGAGGATGAAAAGGTGTGTTTTTGGCAGAGCTGTCTGCTGAACAGGCAACAGGGCAGACAACAAAAAGCCTTTGTGTGACTGCAGTGAAAACAAGGACTTAGCTTCGTTTTACTGCAGCAAACAGTGGCAGCAGATGATCTCCAAACAGCATCCTGCTCCTCTGTCAGGTCACTGAGCCTGAAGTGGAGCTGATAAAGACAGGACCCTCTGTCCCACTTCAGTCCCCTGTAAAGCTGCTGCTCTGCTGGGCAGTGGGGGTCCAGATGGAAAGCCAACAGCAGCCAAGAGCCAGTGTGACAACTCTGGCTAAGCCCTTTGGCCAGGCTCTTACCTGACGGTTCAGGCGGATGGACAGTATGTTACTGGAATAGCTGTAGTTGCAGATCTCTGTCCCTTTCTTGAAGTGGTACACATTCATTTGCCGTGGCTTGGCATGACTGACCACAACCACAAGGCTGCTGGAGAACAGACGCTCCACGATGTAAACATCTGGGATTTCATCTGGGCACAGAAGGGAAAGCAAGAGAAGAGGCTTTAGCTTGGCTTATGGTGGGCTTGACTTGTGTGACTCAGCTCAAGAGGGGATCGGGTTGGAAGGCTCAGTGCTGAGGTGTTCAATGTCTGCTTTTGTTATGTATTTCTCATACCTGGCAAAAAGCATTTAGGTCAGAGCAGGAAGGGGTTAATGAACATTCCCCTAAGGCAAAACTGAAGCCAGCCCCCTTTGACAGTGCTGTTGTGCCTCTCCTGGGCAGGGCTCTCCAGCTGAGGCTAATCCCTGCATCCTCCAGCTGTAGTTAATGCTTGGGAAGGGGATGTAAAAAGGAGGAGCTCAGCAAGCTTGGTCAGGGACTTTCCTGGAGTGAGCAAGTTGAGGCTTAGGGAGGTAAGGCACAACCAGTGTGTAACTCACTGTTTACTCTGCATGGAGTCTTGTTTCTCCTGGCTTCCTTAGGGAAGGCTGATGTGTTTAAACCCTCCCTGTTACTGGGATTGTGGTCTCCAGAGAGCTCTAGCGTGGCTGTGGTTACAGTGGTGTGGCATGTCTTACAGACCATGTTTGGGATGGTTCCTGTTGTGTTCAGGCACCATTACAATGGTTTTGGTGGACCTCCACCTAAGTCATCAGGGGCTATGACTTCTAGCATAGATATCCTGAATGGTGCTTGGGCTGTGCTGTATTGGAGGCACAAGGACTGCTCCACAGCCATGATGTGGGTCTGCTCACAGCTCAACCCATCACCAGCAGGGATCTGTTTCTCTTTGGCCTGACTCTGTGGGCAACCCAAATTCCTAAAGACTTTTAATACAAGCCTATGACTTGTTGCTTTATAGGAGCTTAGTTCCCCTGTGAGTCAAAGGGGAAAGGAGCCTGGGCTTTGCTCCAGATGATGCAGCTATGTCTGGTTGCTGAGGCTCCTACAGCCAGTGGAGAGAGACCAGCATATCCCAGCTGTGAGGTTTATCTTTAGTGCATCTCAACTGAAACACTTCTGGCCATGGCCTGGACTAGGGCATGTGCTCCCTGAGGCCCGACTTGTTTTGAGCTATGAAGTGCACTGCATGCCTGTTAGGAATGACCTTCTTACACAGGAAGCATGTTAAAAACATCCAGTAAATACCACATAGGACTAAAAGCTTCAAGTTATCCAGTGTCTGTGCTGGGAGTCTGGAGTCCATGTATGTGAAACCTGCCAGTGGTGAACTACCTCTGAATGCTGGTTTGCAGGGCAAGGTGCTGCTGGCAGACTGGCAGCAGGGAGCAGAAGATGAACTGTAACAGATTTAAAGGACTCCCATAAGGTTAAAGTCCTAATGACTGTTCAGAAGCTCCTCCAAAGCTGTAGCTCACTCTAAAGGCTGCTGTGCACTGGGCAGTAACCAGAGCTGTTCATCTCCTGATGTGGCACAGCAGAAACAGCTCTCTGAGCAGAATCACCCCCTTCGAGGCAGACTCAAGTGCAGTAAGACAGGTAAAGTCTGTCAGCCAATACTGAAACAAGACACTTACTGCTTTCATGGACCTGGTCCAGTTGTTCCACAGAGCTTAAGGAGAAAAGCCGATATCCAGTTGTGGTTCCAATTGCCAGGGAGCTGCAAAGACAAGACAAAAACCTGCTAGTTCAGATCTTAAGGCCTCCAGGTGAAGCAAGCATTGCTGCAGGCAGGGTATGCTGGTTCTGACTGGGAGGGAGTTAATCCTTCAGATTAGCTTGTATGGAGCAATGGTTTGGATTTGTGCTGGAAACAGTGTTGATAACACAGGGATGTTTTAGTTACTGCTGAGCAGTGCTTACACAGAGTCAAGGCCTTTCTGCTCCTCAGTGAGGAGGCTGGGGGTGCACAAGGAGTTAGAAGGGGACACAGCCAGGACAGCTGATCCCAGGGATATTCCACACCATATGATGTCATGCTTGGCATATAAAGCTGGGAGAAGAGGAAGGAAGGGTGTTCAAAGTGATGGTGTTTGTCTTCCCACGTCCCTGTTAGGCATGATGGAGCCCTGCGTGCCTGGGATGACTGAGCACCTGCCTGCCAATGGGAAGTGGTGAACTGATTCCTTGTTTTGCTTTGTTTGTGCATGTGGCTTTTCTTTTCCCTATCTTTTTTTTCCCCTGTCTTTATCTCAGCCCATGAGTTTTCTCACTTTTATCCTTCTGGTTCTCTTCCCCCATTGCACTGGAAGGGAGTGAGTGAGCAACAGCTTGGGGCTTAGCTCCGGGCTGGCATTAAACCATGACACAGAAGTAATTCCTTCAGTGACCTCCATGAAGGCACAACTTCAGTTTCCACTCTCAATCCAAACTATATGAAATAACAAACCCAAGGATCTGTCTTTCCATCTGGGGCTGCTGCAGCCTACAAAAGGCAAGTATCCCTGTGAGGGGGTAAACTATCACTCATACGGCACTGTGGCTGCTGGAGGAACAAATAGGTATATTATAACCTGGAAGGCTGCAGATAGGACCTTCAGGATATAAAAGGGGGCTGTTTCCTATGCCAGGAGCTGATCCATCTGCATGACACTGACCTATGAAGGCTATAGAAGGTTTGCTCTAATAGCAATGGATGCAGCCATGGAGTATGAAACAGAGTCATGCCAAGTGCTGGCTCTGCTCAGTGCTAGATACAGTCAGCAGCAACATGTAGGTCTTAAATCAGTGCTGATTTAAGACCTGCCCAGTGCACAGGGTTTGCGGTGCCTAGCCATTCACGTCAGCACCAGGGCAGCACCCATCAATGCACTCTTTGTTTAGGCACAGCAAATACAAAGCAGTGCTGCAAAGGTAACAGTGTTCCAGGTGTGAGGCTGGTGGCTGTGGTTCTGATCTTGTACCCCACGATCTGTGCTGCGACTGCTGCTGTATGCGTGTCTCGCTGCTTCAGGATGTTTGCTATGCCATTCAGAGATGGTTCTTAAATGATGGGCTTTGAGACAGGTAAACCACAGGTTAGCAATGGTGAGAGGCTCCATGAAACCCTATGAGGTGATGGGATTTGTGAGCGATTGTGAATGCCCCATCCCTGGCAGTGCTCAAGGCCAGGTTGGACACAGGGGCTTGGAGCAAGCTGCTCTAGTGGAAGGTGTTGGAGCTGGATGGGCTTTAAGGTCCCTTCAACCCAAACCGTTCCATGATGGGATCAGTGTTAGGCTCGGTCCCCTACGAAGTGGCCTCGGCTCCGGTCAGCGGAGGAAGCCCCTCTCCGGCCACCCCGAGCCGCTGGGGAGGGAAATCCCAGCGATCCCTCGGAATTTGCTGCCTCCCAGAGACCGAACCGGGGGGAACCTGAGGCCGTGTCCCGAGAGCCGCGGGGCAGAGCCCGACGGGGCCGTGGGATCGCGCCGGGCCCCGTTTGGACTGCGAGGAGCCGCACCCGCGGACCGGGCGTCCCGCGGGGCTGTCCCTGCAAGATCGGTCCCGCTCCGGGCTGCCACAGAGCCCGGCCGCTGCCGCCGCCCGCCCCGTCCCCCCCGCCCCGCTTACGTGCAGTCCTGGTTGTAGGAGAAGCAGCTGAGAGCCGGGGCCGACCCCGGGGCCTCGGCCGCGGCCTCCATGGAGCGGGCGCGGCGGCTCGGCCCGCTCCGGCCCCCGCCGCGGCCCCGGCCCGCTCCGCGGGGCGCAGGGGCGGTGCCGCCTCCCATTGGCCGGAGGACCCGCCCCACCCACGGATAGACTTTCACATTGACCTATCAGCGAGGAGCAAACGCGATAGTCCCGCCTCCGGGGTTGGCGGAACGGGCTGCTATTGGCTGGCGGCGCGCATCAGCTGCTCGTTGGCACGTGGTGGTGTTGTGGTTGCATCAGACGCGGCCGGAGCTGGCGCCCATCGCTGAGGCCGGGGCCTGGGCGGCTCCGCGGGGCCCGGTGCGGGTCTGCAGCGCGGAAAGGCGGTGATTGCAGCGCTGCTTCAGCGCTCGACAGCGAGCAGGGCCCCCCTTGCCCTTCCGCCGCCGCGCGGTGTGTTAAGTGTGTGATAGTTTCCCCTTCTCTGACGTAATTTACGCTCTAAATATACTGGATTTGTGCTTTATCCATGCGATCTACGCGCTGCTATTTATGGGGCCAAACCTACCAGGGAAAATACAGAGGAAACACACACAATCCCCCCCCCCGAGCCAGTGGCTACATGAGAAAGGTTCTGGAAGTCGGTGGGATGGCAGAGAGCACACAGGAACGGGCAGAGCTGCAAACCCCTCATTAGATGAGTAATCCTCATGTGAGTGCTGAAGTCATTGCCCTGGATCACTGGATGCGCACCGCAGGGCTGCTGGAAAAAGCAATACCATCCCAATGAGGCAGAGCCCATGCGGACACGGGTCTCTGCCTGGGTTAACCCCCTTCCGCTGCCTGTCAGAGAGTTTAAAACCTGTGCCTGTGAAGATGATTAATTTGGGGGAGGATGTATGAAAATGGACAGCTTAAACCCATCAGCTTGGAGGCTGGTGGCAAATGGGATGCGTCCCTAGGATGCAGAGCACATGAATGATGCTGCAAAGGTGGCATGGGAAGAACTTGAAATTCATCATGTTTTGGGGGGAAATATCTTCTGTTCACAGGGGCCTAATAAGGAAGCTGTAATAGAACCTCAGAATGAATCAGAAAAAGCTGGTTTTGAATGGCCTAAGACCATCCCTGCAGACCAGCATTTGGTTTTGAAACAGGGATGTCAGAACAGGGGCTTGCGGAGAAGGAACAAGTTCAAACCCAAACCAACCCAGGGAGTCAGTGCCTTGTATTTCAACCAAACAGCTTCTGAGCAGCTGCTGCAGTTTGCTGCTTGGGTAATCACCATGAGCCGGTTTTAAAGCACAGCCTTGATAAAGCACAGCCACAGGAGCATCTGAGACTTGGGCAACACAACTGTTTTCGCAGCTTGACTGATGCAACCCTGTTGGTCAATCTTCCTCTCTGCCTACAACGGCCGTTTAATTAGCAGAGGTGTGAGAAACAAACGGTTCTTGTCCTCTGCTGCAGCGTGAAAACCTTTGGTGGCCAAGATCTTTCTTGGGATCTGGGAATATGTCACACCTAGGGAATATGTCCTGGCAGGGACAGCAGCGAGCCCTGCAGGCACCAGAAGGACCCTTCTTGCTCTGATGCTTGCATTTGCTGAGAAGAACGTATCAGGAGTTGGCTTCCCTTTCCTGACAATCCTGTGACTGCAGTAACCATCAACAGCCACAACCCCAGCCCAGTCATTAACTCTGAAACCAGCCGGAGTGTGGCCATCCCATCGGGAATGGTTTTCAATGCAGCACGCTTCATGTGACAGATGTTGGTTTGTGTTTTGCACCCCGGGTGTATGGATTCAAGCCTTAAAGAAGAAACAGAAGTGAAGAAGCTGAAGAACCAGCCACTGTGTCTAGAAGGGCCTCTCCCAGCCACAGCATCCTGCATGTGGCCATTTGATGTGAGAAGGGTTAGGAACCTTTTGATGGCTTTTAGGCTTTTCCTGGCTCAGTGTTTAAATTGCAGCAGCCAAGCTCTTCCCTCTCAGATAAAAGAATTGGTCTCCGTGAAGCTGTGGCTGCCCCATCCCTGGCAGTGTTCAAGGCCAGGTTGGAAGGGGCTTGAAGCAACCTGCTGTAATGGAAGGTGCCCCTGCCTGTGGCAGCGGTTGGAGCTGGATGAGCTTTAAGGTCCCTTCCAACACAAACCAGGCTGGGATTTTATTATACGTCTGTTACTTGAATGAAACCGGCTACTGCAAGAAAGGTCTTGGTAGGGGGTAAATCTGTTAAATATCCTTCACTGGTGCTCATGATAACTATGAGCTTATTGAGCGACGAGAGCCTTCCAGGTGGGATATAGGCAAGAGGGAGCAGGCGAAGGTGAATGTCTAACAGGGACAGCACACATATCAAAGGAAACCTCTAGGAGCTCCAAGCAATAAATGCTGCCATCTGGTGCTGTGAGTCCGGCTGCACACGATTCATAACGAGTCTGGCATCGGTACCCACTGATGAATGAACACAGTGATGCTTCTACCCAATGCTTGTTACATGGAGACGGCGGTCTTTGCTTGCTCCTTGGATTATCCAGTGCACTTCCACTTAGGTTCAGTGCTGATGTAGGGGAAAGCACTGACCTCGGGGAGCTGAATAGTCCTGCCAATAGAATGCTGTAGAAAGGAATGTGGGATTTAAACATTTTTTTGTTTTATATCATGATTCCTGTATCAACTATATAAATGTGGAAAGAAAAACCAATGGGCAGAACATATTAGTGCTGGTCACCAGCAGGCTGGCTTGTCCTGCTGCATTGTCTGGACAGGTACTAACCTGGTGTGGGGAGGGGAAGGGGTACACCATGGGAGTGTGTGTGCCATATGCATACAAGAAGTTATCACTGCACCCTGTTTAAGGCACAGAAATCAGGAGAGTTGCATTAAGGCCTTAAGGACCACTTGCCGGCTCATACATCAGTCAGGGTGATGGAAGGAAGGGCAAGAGCCTGACTCCGCAGCCAGTCTGAACATCACCAGTGTCTGAGAGCTCTGCTTCTAGCAGCTTTTCCTTTTCAGCTGTAGGTGCTGGCCCTCAGCTGGATCCTGCCATTCAATGAGCAGCCCTTTCAGAAGTGCTTGCCAAGGTCAGGGGAGAGCTTACAACCTAATGCTGCCGTCCCGTGTAAGTTGGATTAATGCTCCTTATCTTATCCTTGCTCTGGCAAATATCCCATTTCCCTAACTAGCATTAGGACATCACACTCACCCTGGCAATGGATTATCTCACTGGAAGCTTTCATGAATAGGGTTGACATGCTGCTCACAGGAGTGATGCAGGCTGAGGGTGGCTGAGCTCTTTGGGGTGCACATGGGACTCTTGGGGTCTCTTTGAGAACCATAAGACCTGTATCACAGAGTGAAGGGGTTAAAACTGGAAAGGGAGAACTTTTTGCTTTCCCTTTAACTCTTGGATACAGCACTAATTGCAATTCCTCTGTAATTATCTAGAGATCAAAGAACGTGCAGACATGAGAGATCAGAACAGCCAACACAGCAGAGGCAGGCTGAGCACACCAAGGTCCCAACAGACGGAGGAACATCAGGTTCCTGCACAGCCTGGTATGAGCAGACCAGAGGAGCAGCTCTGCTTGGAGAGGCTGTGGAGGGATAACATTGGGAACACAGGCTCCCTGCACAAGGTCTGAGCACGTTAAGTCAGTCTCATGACCTGGATGGCTTCTGTGCTAGACAAGGAGGGGCTTTGAGGAGAAACAGCACAAAATATTGGTATAATAAATACATTCCCAGCAGAAACAACTTGATTCTTGTTCAGACAAGAGAATGCAAGGAGGCATCTGTGATGCTCATGGGACTGTGGTATACACACAACCAAGGTAACCGCAGCCACTGCTCACCAGAGCCTCCAAGTTCATGCGGATGCAGCTTCATGACTTGTTTTGCAACCCATCCTGAACCAGTTCTCATGTAGCTTAATGAACTTAAAGCTCATTCAAGTAGTTCAACCAGTGATGCCCATTACAGGAGCACACAAACATCTCATGAGCCTGGATTCATCCTCAGCCCAGACTGTGCTTTTATCCCCATTCTGCTCTGGGAAGCGAAAACGGAACAGGGCAAAATGACTTCCACAGAGAGGCTGGAAATGAGTAGCAGAGCAGGAAACTAGACCTAGATCCCCTCATCATCTTGTTGCTTCGCGTTTAATGGTTACAGCTGGAGAATTAAAGAAGGCTATATCATATTCCTGCGGGCACACAGCACATGCCAAGCAAGCTGACATTTCAAAGACCTATTGTTTTTCGAGTGGGTTCCTTCCATCTGGGAAAATGTTCTATTATCTTGGGGGGAGAGAGGCAGAAACTTGCATCAGAAATCGATTCTGCAGCCAGCTTGTTAGATGTTGGTCCAGGCATTGTCTGGATGTCAGTCCAGACCAAGAATAGTGGATCTGACCGCCTGTGTGATGTGTTTACTTTGCCACCTGCTTTCAGAGACCAGCACATAAGCAAATGACTGTTTAAAATGCTTTTATGTGTGCATCTCGCAAGAGAACTGTGTCACAGATGATGCTCTGAGAGGGAGCTCTCCCCAGACTGCCTCTATGTTAAAAGCAGGGCAACTGAGGATCCTTTTCAATGGGGGTATTTACATTCCGTTACAAAACAAACACTGGTAGTATTTCACATGCATTCCCGGAACAGAAGTCAACAGTAGCTGCACACTGTCTCACTGCTCTTTAATTCAGTTTGCGTCAGAGAGATCTTAAAGTCAAGAATCACATTTGCAGATGCTCGGGCAGTTCATGAACTGCTGGAGCTGCCCAGAGGTTGTGTAAGTTAAGGATGCAAAACAAAGGCAGTTCGCATCAGAACTGCAGGAGGCAAAGACCTGCTGCTCTGCGTCTCCTTCCCTCTCTAAGGGTCTTTTTTGCCATCCTTTGGACGCTGTTTTGTACCTCTCATCTCTTGTAAGGCAACCTAGCACCCCATCTGCATCTGTTACCCCACTGTGCTCATCCCTGTCCTCACTCAGAGCTGAGGAGAGTCCTGCAAGCCCTTCAGACTGGTACATAGACATCTAAGCAAGCAGTTTCCAGTACTGTCAGGAGGGTGCTTAGAAACTTCCCACCTTGCTGTTAAGGTGCAGGTTAATTGCTGATCTAGACTCAACTGCTTTAAGTCAGAAGAGGGAACACTGAGTCTAAGTGAGACACGCTTGGATGGCAGCAGAACAGCGTTATCTGTGTTAGTATTTAATCAGGGTATCCTGGCTTTTTCAGTGTGTGACATACCTCAGATAATGACTGCGCTGCCTCTCTTATGCTGCTGAGCTGCTCAACACTTACTCAGGAGGTAGAACGTTCCCAACATTGCCCCTTGGGTGTTGGGAGCCTTCCAGCTGGGAATCATGCTGTGTGTATGCAGGGCTGTGTTGCAGCAGGCACGTCTCCGTCTCACAGATGTAAATGGATTCCCTGGCTGGCCTATCTTTAAGATCTGGGTGCTTGAGGGCATTTTTTTCTTGGCTCTTGGTTACTCTGTTTGAGTCTCACCAGCCGTGTTCTTCAAAGTAACATATGGAAATGATCTGAGATCAGTTTTGCTTTGCTCACAGCAGACTTGTTCTGTGCATGGGAACCGTTTCACGCGCTGTCTGCCCAGCTGATGTGCAGCAAGACCAAAGGCAGCTTCCTCCCACCACCTTTCAGGGTACACAGAGGTTTCTCACCCATGGCACAGGTTAGAGCAGGAAACTCAAGTGCTGTCCTTCAGATTGTAGTTATTGATTGTATCAATTCCTTGCTCTGTTCCTTTATCACAGAATTACAGGTGTTGATAACAGGTTTATTTCTGCTGTAACACATCCAGAGGCTGACACTACCTGGCTTTGTTTCTCCTTACATGCAGGTGTATTGAAAGCTGTCAAGTTCCTACAGCCAACTCCAGAGTCTGACCTCAAGCAGCCTATTGTTCAACAGCAGTATGGTTTGCTGTCTTTTGGCTCCTAATCTGTGGATCTTGCTATGAATCACACTGAACAGTCTCAATGAGACATGGGTGCAGCAGCAACTGTTGGTTATTTTCCCTGTTAGTTAAACAAAATACAGGAAGACATGCCCAAAGGCCACAGCATGAATTCAGCCTCTGGCACTGTCATGGGCCGCAGGGAGCTCACAGGTTTTATCTCCACTGACTTTCTGATTGCTCGTCAATGTGGATTTTAGGGCTGTTGGGGCTAGTGGCAACTTCTGTTTGGTAGAAGAAACCTTTCTGTGCCATTAAAGCTTCTTCATTCTCCATTTACCCTCTCTCAAGATGGTGCACATGCAGCAGCCACATGTTGGGCTGTGCCTCTTTGGACTCTGCTTGTACATCAAGGGTGATGGGTTTGTGTGATTTAACATGTGGACCTGTGCGTGTGGTTCAAACATTGGCTCCTTCAGTCTGACACTTGCTCGATTCATTTGCTCTCAGCTGTGTCTGATGGTGGTACCTCATGGGCAGAACATGATGCTCCTCAGCAGAAACCCCACCACGATAACTCCTGTGCAGCATTCCAGCTACCCACGGGCACTGTTAATTTTCCTGCCACTGGAGTACCCATCAACAAGCTGGTTTGGTTCTCTGCACATAGCAGGGGTAGCCAACTTCTGTGCCTTTATTTCTCATCGTGGTTCATAGAACTGCATTTAACCCCGAGCTCCCCCATCACTGTTCTTCCTGAGATTGCTGTTGGAAGTATTTTTCTGGCCCAGTGATCTATAACCTTTTTCATATGGATCCAGCAATTCTTCAGCCTCTTTATCTTCAAGGTGCTCTTTGCACTCCTTTAACACTACTCCTCATGCCACCCTTGCTGCTCCATGCACAACCTTCCTACCCAACCACCTGGGATCTCGTTCACTTCCTTGGTGGATGCTGCAGTGCTTTATACTTGCAGAATAAAACCAAGTCAGTATCTCTGTGGGGTTTGTACAATCACATGGTGGGGAGCAGAACAGAAAGCTTTGATTTCTTCCCAGCGACCATTCTTAGCTTCTATTACTGTTGATCACCGTGTTGATAAATAGCACCATAAAAATTAGAGTCATAAATTCAGTCTTTGTGAGAACTTCTGGGAAGCTTTGTTAAAAAGCAAACAAATTATCTTCCCACTTGGGATATTTCAGATGCTTTTTACAGACAAATTTATGGGTCTTTTACGAGAGCAGGAGTATGTATCCTACATGGCTTAACGCAAAATGGTGAGGAGCCAAATGCCAGGGGATGATGAGGTGGCATTGCCACCCTGCTGATGGAGGAGGGATCGTGATGATCTCAAAGAGGGCTGCTGGTTTTAATCATGGAAATAGTGCTTTTGAACCCTTTGTATGAGGCTGAAGCAGAAGTGGCTAAATACATCAGCCTAACAGTAGAGTGCTTTACAGACATGAGTGGGCATCCTGGTCGAGGTTCTCTATGGGAGTTTGGTAGCTAAGTCAACTTCCAGGGACCTAAATACCTCTGGACACTTCCACCCTGGATCTGCCTACAAAGATCATCCTTCAGGCAGTGTTTCTTGGTTTAAAACTGAGAGCAATCAGGCTGTTAAAGCCAAGAAGTCCTACCTGCAGCATTGTGCTGTGACACACGGTGATTCACAGCCCCTGCCTGGGGAGTCACCTTGTCTCAGTCATGCTCAGACTCCACCAGTGTTCACCAGTCTCAAAAGCTGGATGTGCCACTGCTATGGGCTCGTGATGGTTAGCACCACTGAAATCACTGCCATGCTAATCCAGTGCCTGCCAATGGGGTTTGAACCAGGACTGACGACTAAATTAGTCCTTAAAATGAATATAATACAGCATAGGAGATAAAATGGAGTTATAAGAAGGGTTCCATGGAGTTCTCACTAAAAGCCAGCAGAAGCAGCCAGCAGGGCTCTGCACCTTGCCCCCCTCTCCATAGGGACGTGCTGGCTGTGTCTCCCAGCCTGTGCGTCGGTGGATTCATTCCCCTGGCAGCCCTGCTCCAGCCACAGCCTCAGGCGAAGGGTTGCTTCATGAGAAACTCTTTAATGCATGAAATGGTTTGAAATGAAAGTTGTGGGAATCGTGCTGACGGTAATGCGGGTTATTCACTGGGGACTGTTTCATTATTTCATTAAGGCAGTGAAGCCCAGGGTCTGACTGTAATTCAGACCACACCAAACGGAGCAGGGCTTTGGTTTTAATTCCTCTTACGTCTTTAACAGCGAACGAATTAACACATGAATATGGACACAAATACATGAGAAGCACGATTGAACTTTCAGAGACAAATCCGTGCTGACACCCAGAGAGGGAGCTGTATGTGGTTAACAAGGGGGGCTTTGGGCTGGCATCACAAGGCTCCTTCCAAAAGCCTGTTATGTTCCCTGCCTTTCCGCCTGAACTCTGGCTCCAGAGCTCAGGAAAGGATTGCATCAGGAGCAAGCTGTACAACAGTATCCTTGTTTTCTTAATAAAGAGAATGTCGCAGAACAGGTTTTACGTATGGGGCTGATCTTTGTTCCAGATGGGATCTATCCCAACACAGCACTTGGGACTTGTCCAAACAAGGAGGAGTGAGATGTGACAATAGCAGACAGCTGGCAAAAAGATAAAGAGCAACAAAACCCCAACAGAAATCGGGGGGGGGGGAGAGCACACAACTGCTTTAAAGTGTTCAGAAACTTGTAGTAGTTTGCAGTTATAGAAAGAAATACTATT